TGATATGCAGGATGTATTTTCATTCACTGGATCAAATTTGACACAAATAGCCAATACGCCCAAATTTGTATACTGGTTGTGCTGGGGGGATTGAGTTTTTAATTTGGGAGTTGTAGTTGCTGTCATTTATAGTTCACCTACAATCAAAGAGCATTTGAACTCCACCAGCAATGGAATTGAACCAAACTTGGCACACAGAACTCCCATGTCCAGAAGGAAACACTGAAAGAGTTTGATGGGCATTGACCTTGAGTTTTGGAGTTGTAGTTCACCTACATCCAGTGAGCACTGTGGACTCAAACAATGATGGACCTGGACCAAACTTGGCACAAATACTCAATATGCACAAAAGTGAACATTGGTAGAGTTTGGGGAACTCCAATGGAATTGCAATCGAATTGAACCAAACTTGGCACACAGAACTCTCATGACCAACAGGAAACACTGAAAGAGTTTGATGGGCATTGACCTTGAGTTTTGGAGTTGTAGTTCACCTACATCCAGTAATCACTGTGGACTCAAACAATGATGGATCCGGACCAAACTTGGCACAAATACTCAATATGCACAAATGTGAACATTGGTGGAGTTTGGGGGAAATAGACCTTGACATTTGGGGGCTGTAGTTCCTGGGATTTATAGTTCACCTACAATCAAAGAGCATTCTGAACTTCACCAGCAATGAAATTGAACCAAACCTGGCACACAGAACTCCCATGACTTACAGAAAATGCTGGAAGGGTTTGGTGGACACTGACCTTGAATTCAGGACTTATAGTTCACCTACATTTGGAGAGCACTGTAGACTCAAACAATGATGGATCTGGACCAAACTTGGCACGATTACGCAATATGGTGGTGCTGGGGAGGGGTGTGTGTGTGTAGATTTTGTCATTGCTGTAGTTGCTGCGATTTATAATTCACCTACAACTGGGCCAAACGTCCCACACAGAACCCCCATGACCAAACAGAAAATTCTGTGTTTTCATATGGTCTTTGGCGACCCCTCTGACATCCCCTCACGACCCCCTCTAGGGGTCCTGACCCCCAGGTTGAAAAATCATTGGTGAGGTTCAGAATGCTCTTTGATTGTAGGTGAATTATAAATACCAGGAAATACAACTATAAATCTCAGCAACTATAACTCCCAAATGTCAAGCTCTGTTTTCCCAAACTCCATCACTGTTCACATTTGCGCATATTGAACCTTTCTAGTATTTTCTGTCAGTTATAGGAGTTCTGTCACCCAAGTTTGGTTCAATTCCCTCATTGGTGGAGTTCAGAATGTTCTTTGATTGCAGGTAAACTATAAATTCCAGCAACTACAACTCTCAAATGTCAAGGTCTATTTTCCCAAACTCCACCAGTGTTGGCATTTGTGCATATTGAGCATTCATGCCAAGTTTGGTCCAGATCCATCGTTGTTTGAGCCCAGAGTGCTCTCTGGATGTAGGTGAACTTCAACTCTGAAACTCAAGGTCAATACCCACCAAACCTTTCTAGTGCTCTCTGGATGTAGGTGAACTATAAATCCCCGAAACTACAACTCCCTAATGAAAAAATAAATCCCCCCACAACCCCATGAGTTTTTAAATTTGTGTCAAATTTGTTCCAGTGGATGAAAATACAACCTGCATATCGGATATTTACATTATGATTAATAACAGCAGCAGAATTACACTTCTGAAGTAGCAGCGAAAATAATGTTATGGTTGGGGGTCACCACAACATGAGGAACTGTAGTAAGGGGTCGTTAGGAAGGTTGAGAAGCACTGACTTAAATATTACAGAGATAATCCAGTAATATCTTAGCCCAAATGGGGTTTTATATGTTCTTCACTGCCATTGTCTCTGTGCTACTAGATCTCTAGGAAGTCCCAAAGGAGGTTTTGCTGGGCTCCTTTGTCTGGGACATCAGAAACCGAGCCCAAAGCCAGCAGTGAGACTCAGTCTCCTTGGCACCTTCCCTCGCATTGTGCCCATAATCCTTTTGTCAGGCGTTGCAAACCTTTGTCTCTTGCCTTTCTTTCCCAGGGAAGGGAGAGAGCCAATTCATCTCCCTCCTCCTTGCTATTTTCCGAACAAGGAGGGGGAAAGAGACCCCCTTCTCTCATCCTGAAAGCAGCAAGCGAGAGAAGCTTTATCTTCCTGGGAAAGTTTTGATGCTATTAGGCTGTGTCTACCAAAGAATGGATGCTTGTAAAAAAATGCAGCCTTTACAAGGCCATAGAAACATGGATGGTCTGAACACGGTTGGTTTTCATCCAGATTTCTGTTTTCAGCAGCATTTTGTACCCTTCCCTCCCAATACGCACTCACTAAAAGCAGGGCAAAAAAAACTCCTAATTGTCTTTGATCACTTTTGGTTATCTGTGTCTTCAAGTCATTTCGTCCTTGTGACCCTGGCCCCATCTACACTGGTCATTTAATACAATTCAAAGCTAGCATCAAATTGTAGCAGCCAGACAATAAACTCCTGCAAAAGTATGCAAAAGAAACCATTTCATGCCTATCAATGCTTTTTGGTTTGTATAACCCTCCTCTGTTCCTCAAATTGGTGCCAAAAACTCCTATGTAATCCTCTGCATACCATTCTCCAGTGTAGATGCACTGTTAGACCATATTCCTGTGTTTTGCATTTAGCCTTCTCAAGCCAGAGGGTTTTTACCTGGCGCCTGGGAACTTGGATCTCTTTCTTTGACTCTCAGGAGGAAATGTGGAGCAGGATATAAATGTTTCGTACTGGAAATAGAATAATTATAATTATAATTATAATTATAATTATAATTATAATTGAATCTTAGACTCATAGAGTTGGAAGAGACCTGGTGGGCCATCCAGTCCAACCCCATTTTGCCAAAAAGCAGAAAAATCACAGTCAAAGCACCCCCGACAGATGGCCATCCAGCCTCTGTTTCAAAGCCTCCAAAGAAGGCGCTTCCACCACACTCCGGGGCAGAGAGAGAGTTCCACTGCTGAACAGTTCTCTCATACAATGAGGAAGTTCTTCCTAATGCTCAGGTGGAATCTCCTTTCTTTCCTGTAGTTTGAAGCCATTGTTCCACTCCCTACTACTTCATCACACTAGAGAATGAATCAACTTTAAATCCTGTTGCTGCCTCCTGCAGAATTCTGGGGTTTGTAGTTTAGGGAGGAGCCTTTAATTGCCTCACTAAACTACAAACCTCAGAATTCTGCAGGAGGCAGAAACTGGATTCATTCTCCAGAGTGATGAAGTAGCTAGTCTCCAGGGCAGCAGAAAACAAGCTTGCTTCCTCCTCCCTATGACTTCCACTCACATATTGATCCATGGCCCTCATCATGTCTCCTCTCAGCCTTCTCTTCTGAAGGCTCAACATGCCCAGTTCTTTAAGCCGCTCATCATAGGGCTTGTTCTCCAGACCCTTGATCCTTTGAGTCGCCCTCCTCTGAACACATTCCAGCGTAGAGTCAACATCTCCCTTCAATTGTGGTGCCCAGAATTGGACACAGAGTGATTCCAGGTGTGCTGTAACCAAGGCAGAATAGAAGAGTAGCCGGACTTCCCTGGATCGAGACACTATACAAATAGTATGGGAGAGTTATGTATATACACACATATACATATACATATATTTTAAAACCTCTTAGTTACATGTGGCAGTAAAAACATGTGCAGGTATGCCTCAGTTAATCCAATAGATGCATTCCTGGGCATGACAGAAAATTTGGTACCAGAAATAGAAATAGCATATAAAAATAGGAATGTGTTCTTTCACTGCAAAAAAGAAAGAAAAGTGCAGTTCAATGGGTTCTAGCAAACCTTTTCCTTCAAAATTGACAATAAGTATATGAGAAATAAAGCAGCCAGGTCAGATGTTTTTATATTGTGTAAATGCTATTTTAAATTGTAAGTCGCTTGGAGCACCTTGGGGGAGAGCAACTAATTAAGAAATGAAATGAAGTGAAGTGAAGTGAAGATAAGCCTGATATAAGTGGACAACACATTTTCAACATTCGAGAGATCACTTTAAAGCATTATACTGTTGACCAAGTATTTTTGTTAGTTTGGCTTTTGCAGATTTGAGTATTCACGGATTTAACCAAAATGTTCCCTAGGAATCTCAAGGTCCTCCACTGCGATTCTTTGGCCAATTTATGGTGGAAGTTGATCTTAGAATTGCACTTGATGATCTCAGACTAGAGAAGGATTGTCACAAGTAAAACAAAAATAGTCCTTGGTCCCTAGCTGTTAGGGATTCCTCATCTTCAGGAGAGGAAAGGGAGCAGGGAAGTGCTCAGGATTTGGATGAGGTTTTGCAAGTGCCCACATTTCTGGAGAGGCGAAAGGAAACAGAGCACAGACGGCATTCAGCTAGAACAGCTGCTAGAAACGGCGAGGTAATTGGGAGCCACCCTAGCACCTCCTGCGTGGGGAATTCAGGCCTATAAATCAGAAGCAGGACCAGTTAGCGTTCGCTGGTAACAACGTCTCTAGTACTGATGTTTTCGCTCCAATTGTACCTGCTTTGTGTCTTCTTCTAAATTGCTGGGATTTAGTGAGTTACCCATTGTCTGATGTAAGACTGCTGTTTATTTTGGACTTTATTAGAGACTTTAGTTTTGTGTCTGCATTAAGACTTTCTTGCTTTCTTTTGCATTTATCAACTACATTTGCTGTTCTTTTGTGGTTGCTGAAGTAAAGCATTTTTCTATTACTTTCAACATTGTATTAAGGCTGCTCTTGAAGGGCAAATCAGAACATTAGCTCTAGTTAAAAGCATACAGTTGGAAGGGCCATTTGGACGAACACCCTTCCATGAGGGAACTCACAATGAAAGTACACCCAACAGATGTCCATCTACCTTCTGCTGAAATATATAAATATAATTAATAAATTATATTATTGTTTTTCATTTGGGAAGGACAATAATGTATAACCTCAAGTCCTCAGGTGCCCACACACCACGCATGACTATAATGCCATTCCGTCATCATGTGATTATTTTCTTCTGTTCCAGATGGAAATGCGTCTCCAGGATCAGCAACTGGCCCGGCAGCTGATGCGCTTGCGGAGCGACATCAACAAGCTGAAGATCGAGCAGACCTGCCACCTCCACCGGCGCATGCTCAACGACGCCACCTACGAGATGGAAGAGAGGGACGAGCTCTCCGACCTTCTCTGCGACTTCCCTCTCACGTCCTCCTTCAGCTTGTCTGCCCCGCTCAAGCTCATTGGGGTGACCAAAATGAACATCAACTCTCGCCGGTTCTCACTCTGTTAGGGGGAATTGGGGGAGTGGGCACAGGCAGTGGGGAACAGGCACAGGCAGTCGAGATGGTGGCCGAAGTCCTCCAGAAACAGAAAAGGAGAAATCTCTGCTTTCCTTTCCTTTTATAGGAAGAGACACATGAGAGAGGAGAAGCAAGAGAGGGACCAAGCATACAATATGGCTGCACTGCAAGGGGATTGAAGATCATGTCCTATTTCGAAATGGTGGGTTGTAAAAAGAACACCAGGAGTGAACTTAGACATTGCCATCCATCTTAACAGGGAGATAACAGCAAGAAATGTAAGATATACTTAGGCAGAAAAAGCAAAATGCAGTTATAGGATGGATAACACCTGACTTGATAGGAATATCTCTCTGAGGGATCTTGGAGATCACAAGGTGAACATGAGTCAACGGTGTGAAAACATGACTCACTAGAAATAATAATACAGCTTGATATGGTGGGAAAATAGATGGAGACTAGACAACAAAAGGATTGATCTAACCTAGGAAGTTCAGATTACTTACTTACTTAGGCGATCCCTCGTTGTCCGAGTAAGATTGTCCTCGCAGTAGGTATGTAGGTGAATGTGGAGTCCTATTCTTGACCTGCATGTTCTCCCGCAGTGAGGGCATCAGTTTCCAGGTGGAAGGTGGTCCCAGTCAGGGTTGGCTTGATGCGCCTTCCTCTTGGTCCTGTAGTCTCTCTTTCATCCTCCATTCATGCTTCTTAAAATTCTATAGCACTGCTGGTTACAGCTGACCTCCAGCTAGAGAGCTCAAAGGCCAGTGCTTCCCAGTTCTCGGTGTCTACGCCACAGTTTTTAAGGTTGGCTTTGAGCCCATCATTAAATCTCTTTTCCTGCCCTCTAACATTCTATTTTCCATTCTTGAGTTTGGAGTAGAGCAACTGCTTTGGGAGACAGTGGTCGGGCATTCGGACAACGTGGCCAGTCCAGCGGAGTTGATGGTGGAGGACCATCGCTTCAATGCTGGTGGTTTTTGCTTCTTCCAGCACACTGACATTTGTCCACCTGCCTTCCCAATAGATTTACAGGATTTTTCAGAGACAACACTGATGGAATCGTTCCAGAAGTTGCATGTGACGTCTGTAGATAGTCCACATCTCGCAGGCGTATAGCAGGGTTGGGAGAACAATAGCTTTACAAACAAGCACCTTGTTCTCTCTATGGATTTCCCAGTCCTCAAACACTCTCCGCTTCATTTGGAAAAATGCTGCACTCGCAGAGCTCAGGCAGTGTTGTATTTCAGTGTCAATGTTGATTTTTGTGGAGAGGTGGTTGCCAAGGGAGTGGAAACGGTCAACTAGGAAAATGGGGTTTATATATCTGTGGAATGTCCAGGGTGGGAGAAAGAATTCTTATTTATTGGAGGTAGTTGTGAATGTTTCAATTGGCCACCTTGTTTAGCATTTAGTGGCCTAGCACTTTTCAAGGCGTGGCTTCTACTGCCTGGGGGAATCCTGTATTGAGAGGTGATTGTTGTACTGCTGGGCTTGGCCTCATGTAAGCTACCCCGAGTCCCCTTGGGGAGATGGTGGCATGGTATGTATAAATAAATAAATAAATAAATAAATAAATACTCTTATTATTTGCTGTCACTGATTGTTTCTTATCTGGAGCTCCCTTGTCTTTATTGACATGAACAAAATGAACAAAATCTAGCTACCAGTATTAAAAAACTCTAAAATCATAACAGTAAATAAAGACAAGGGAGCTCCAGACAAGAAACAATCAGAGACAGCTAATCACCTCTCAACAAAGGATTCCCCCAGGCAGTAAGAAGCCACACCTTGAAAACTGCTAGGCCATTAGGGTTACAGCCTGTGTTGGACGGGGTCGCCCTCCCCCTGAAGACGCAGGTTCGCAGCTTGGGTGTGACTCTGGATTCTTCGCTAAGCTTGGAACCCCAAGTTTCAGCGGTTTCCAGAGGAGCATTTGCACAGCTTCGGCTCGTGCGCCAGCTGCGCCCGTATCTTGGGAAGTCAGACTTGGCCACGGTAGTCCACGCTCTTGTCACATCCCGCATAGATTACTGCAACGCGCTCTACGTGGGGTTGCCCTTGAAGACTGTCCGGAAGCTTCAGATGGTCCAGCGCTCGGCAGCCAGGTTGCTAACGGGAGCGGCACTCAGGGAGCACACCACCCCCCTGTTGAGCCAGCTCCACTGGCTGCCAATTAGCTACCGGGCACAATTCAAGGTGCTGGCTTTAGCCTATAAAGCCCTACACGGTTCCGGCCCCACTTACCTCTCCGAACGCATCTCCACCTATGAACCGGCGAGGACCTTAAGATCGTCCGGGGAGGCCCTGCTCTCGGTCCCGCCGGCGTCGCAAGCGCGGTTGGCGGGGACGAGAGACAGGGCCTTCTCAGTGGTGGCCCCTCGGCTATGGAATGCCCTACCAGTGGACATCAGGCAGGCCCCTTCGTTGCTGGTGTTTCGGAGGAGGGTTAAGACGTGGCTCTATGAGCAGGCGTTTGGGACAACTATGCAATGACAACTAACTCAGTAAGACGGCATTGAACAAGGAACGAAAAAGGACTATGAGAACGGGATCTGATTCTAACTGAGGCGTTGATGATTGTGTGTGTTGTTTGTGTATGTACGTCTTATATATTGTCAGTGTTGCCATTTTTACTGTAAACCGCATTGAGTCGCCGTCGCAGGCTGATATATGCGGTATACAAATGGAGTAAATAAATAATAATAATAAATAGGCCATTAAATGCTAATCAAGGTGGCCAATTGAAACATTCACACCTACCTCCAACAGACAAGAGTTCTTTCTCCCACCCTGGACCTGGACATTATTCCACAGATATATAGACTCACTTGACTAGTGACCAAAAGACCTCATAACCTTTGAGGATGTCTGCCATATATGTGGGTGAAACATCAGGAGAGAATGCTTCTGGAACATGGCCATACAGCCCGAAAAACTTACAGCAACACTTGTCTGTTCTGGATTGTTGTAGGTTTTTCGGGCTATATGGCCATGTTCTAGAAGCATCCTCTCCTGACCTCACAACCTTTGAGGATGCTTGCCATACATGCAGGCAAAACATCAGAAGAGAATGCCTCTAGAAGATGGCCATATAGCCCAAAAAAACCTACAACAACCCAGTGATTCTGGGCATGAAAGCCTTTGACAATACCTTGCCTGTTCTTCTTAGTTAATTACTTTTTCCATCATAAATATGCTATGAGGTTGCTCAATCGACATAGCAAACTATAAGTCCCAGCTTTGGCAGGCACAAAAGTAAAGGTGTGCTATTCGTACAGTCTGAGAGCTCCACCAAAATTGCCACCCCTGATAAATATCATGACCTATTTCTCCCCATTGCAATTCACCCCACAGTTTGGTATCCTCAAGTATTTCTTAGTGGCGGCCTTAATGTTTGCGGTTGAATCGTTCCTCGATCCAAGAGAGGTTTATTACAGTGTTCTTGGGCTCTTCCACACTGCAAAATTGAAACCCTTTTTGCAGTTCTCATACTCTCGACCCCAGAAAACCCCATGATAGGATTGCCGTAGGTTGGAAATGACTTGAAGGCACTGGAACTCTAAATCAGATAAGTTCAGTGCCTTACCAAATAACAAGCCCTTGGATTCATAGTATGTAGCTATGACAGGCGAAGTAGAATCAAAGTGAAATACATGTGTAGTGTGGAAGGTTCCTCAGTCTAAGTGCCGACAGTCCATCCTAAGTTTGCTGTCTGGAGAACAAGCCCTATGAGGAGCGGCTTAAAGAGCTGGGCATGTTTACCCTGAAGAAAAGAAGGCTGAGAGGAGACATGATAGCCATGCATAAATATGTGAGAGGAAGTCACAGGGAGGAGGGAGCAAGCTTGTTTTCTGCTCCCCTGGAGATTAGGATGCGGAATAATGGCTTCAAACTACAAGAAAGGAGATTCCACCTGAACATGAGGAAGAACTTCCTGACTGTAAGAGCCATTCAGCAGTGGAACTCTCTGCCCCAGAGTGTGGTGGAGGCTCCTTCTTTGGAAGCTTTTAAACAGAGGCTGGATGGCCATCTGTCGAGGGTGCTTTGAATGCAATTTATCTGCTTCTTGGCAGGGGGTTGGACTGGATGCCCCATGAGGTCTCTTCCAACTCTATGATTCTATAGCTTGGAGGGCTTTAACACCTGACCTGTGGCATTGGATAGGGAAGGAACCAAGAAAAACAAAGTCTTCCCAAACCTTTGAACTGTCCCAGTTTGGCACAAAAAGTCGAATATTGTTCCACTATTCGAACTGCTTTTCTCTTACAACCTTCTGCCTTGATCCTCAGCTTATTTCAGTGGCAGCAAACAGAATTCAAAATGAAATAATTTGCTCTGTTCAACAAGGAAAGGAGGGGATGGAGTCTTGCCCTTCCCATTGCTTCTCAGTCATTGATTTTCCCACGTTTTGGACTTCAGTTCCCAAAATGCCTAACTATAAGCCAAGCTAGGGAGTTGAAATCAAAAAGTTCTGGACAACCAAAGTTTGCAATGGATTAAACCCTTGTGCTAGCAGGACTGCTGACTGAAAGGCTGGTGGTTCAAATATGAGGAGTGGGGTGAGCTCCCATCAGTCAGCTCCAGCTTCCAATCCTGGGACATGAGAGAAGCCTTCCACAAGAATGGTAAAACATCTGGCCGTCCCCTAGGCAACGTCCTTGCAGACTGCCAATTCTCTCACATCAGAAGCAACTTGCAGTTTCTCAAGTCACTCCTGACACAAACAAAAAAAAAACTTTTTGAAAGCGTTATAGTGGAAGAAGTCCAGGCCTCTATACACAATACTTTCTTTTACAACATCCTCACAAATTATACCTTTTTGACTATGGCTGTGTTAGCAATGTCTGCCCCTGTCTTTTAGGGGCTTGCAAGAAGGTAAAGGTTTACCTTTGACATTAAGTCTAGAATCCAACTCTGAGGGTTGGTGTTCATCTCCATTTCTAAGCTGAAGAGCCAGTGTTGTCCATAGACACCTCCATGTGGCCGGCATGACTACATGGAGCGTTGTTACCTTCCTGCAGAAGTGGTATCTATTGATCTATTCACACTTGCATGTTTTCAAACTGCTAGGTTAGTAGAAGCTGGGGCTGACCGTGGGAGCTCACCCTGCTCCCTGGATTGAAACCACCAACCTTCCAGTCAGCAAGTTCAGCGGTTTAACCCACTGCACCATGGGGGAGGGGGCTCCTTTGCAAGAAGGCACCACCTCAAAAATAATATTTGAATCTATCCCCCCAAGTTCCCATTGCAATGATTCTTCTTATCTTTCCTGTCAAGTGTAGCGTACGACTATTGCATCGTTTACTTTGCAAAAATACTGGTATCGCTAATACTGTTCCTTTGCAGAAAGAAATCAAGGCAAATTGGCCTTTTGTTTGTACAAGTGATACATTTGTATGCCGAGAATGCTTGGTATTTGTTGACATATTTGTGGGATGTGGGTTTTTTAATATATATATTATTTTTTATTGTTGTCATTACAAACATTTCTGTCTTTCCATCTCGGCTCTTGCTGTGTGCGTTTGTTTGTTTGTATCCGTGGATGAAAAGGAGAAAACGGAAATGGAAAATTCAGTAAACATTTTTTTTAAAAGAAACTGTTTGAAATGTCATCATTCTTGCTATATAAACAGTATAAGATTGTGAACTTGAGAATGTTGCAACAAGAATAACCATGTGCTGAATTTCTCCTTGATCGGTTTGCTCAGTGTTTCTCAACCTGGGGGTCCGGACCCCTGGAGGGGCTGTGAAGGGGTCACCAAATATCATCTTAAAACACTGTATTTTCTGTTGGTCATGGGGGTTCTGTGTGGGAATTTTGGCCAAATTCTGTTGTTGGTGGGGTTCAGAATGGTCTTTGATTGTAGGTGAACTATAAATCCCAGCAACTACAACTCCCAAATGCCAAGGTCTATTTCCCCCAAACTCCACCTCTGTTAACATTTGTGCATATTGAGTATCTGTGCCAAGTTTGGTCCAGATCCATCATTGTTTGAGTCCACAATGCTTTCCGGATGTAGTTGAACTACAACTCCAAAACTTAAGGTCAGTGCTCACAAAACCCTTCCAGTATTTTTTCTTGGTCATGGGAGTTCTGTGTGCCAAGTTTGGTTCAATTCCATCGTTGGTGGAGTTCAGAATGCTCTTTGATTGTAGGTGAACTATAAAGCCCAGCAACTACAACTCCCAAATGTCAAGGTCTATTTTCCCCAACTCCATCAGTATTCAAGTTTGGGTGTATTGGGTATTTGTGGCAAATTTGGCCCAGTGAATGAAAATACATCCTGCATATCAGATATTTACATGACGACTCATAACAGTAGCAAAATTACAGCTATGAAGGAGCAATGAAAATAATGTTATGGTTGGCGGTCACCACAACAAGGGGTCATGGCATTAGAAAGGTGGACAACCACTAAGTTACCTTGTCCATCTCAACTAGTTCACAGAACCACGATGCATTTCAGTTTCAAATGATTGGCATGAATTATCTTCTTGCAGGAGAATTAGGACAGCAATTAAGTCAATGGAAATAAATCTCCCATAAAGCAGCACCTGTGCCTTTGGAAGAGGGTTCCTTTCCTAGTGAGCATGTTGGGACAGGAGGCATTCTTGCCATGCAGTGGTTGGAAGAAGGGCGATTGGCACGGAATGCCATCCCAAGCGGTGCCAAGATCAAGCAATTGGGCAGGTGATCAAAAAGGACTCCAGATACCAGAGTTAAAAAGATTATAGCGCATTAAGGGCTGTGTTTCTAAAAAGTCCTTAACTGGATTAGCATGTATAATGA